CTGCTTCATGTTGTCATTCCCTTGACTTTCTTTTTAATTTAATGAATGCGTTGGTGGTTGCTTTGTGCAACAAGTGATTTCGAATTTTCACACATTTGTTGCTGCCTGAATGCCATGCATACATGATTGAGAACTTGTTTTCGTATCTCAAGACGATGCGTAACACTGCTTAGAAGAGTTTCACTGGCGTGTATTCATCGCAGAAATGTTGACATGCATTAGACTTGCGTAATATGTGTTTTCCAAATCGGGCCAAATATCTCATTACAGTCTATCTCCTTTCTCGAATTCCTTCCCTTCTTGCAGCAAATGTTACTTCAAGGAAATGAGGAGAACGACAAAAAGAAGAACCAACTTTATGGTCTCATACTGAGTACAAAAAAACACTTTTCGTTCAATACCTTCAGTCGGAAAATGACATGCACCTTGTGCTGCTTGAAAGTTTGTGAAGACTGGCAGATTTTCAATTCTAGCAACAGTATTAGAATGATTCAGGCTATTGAGCTGATTAGTATCATAGTTTTTGAGCCTAGCAAATACTTCTAGCAATAAGCGGTTTTCTTCGAAAAAAATGCTTCATGTTTTCTGAAGCAGCAGCGTTCGAAAAGGTCATTGTTCGAAACGCCAACAAATCACGTTTATCAGTCGCGTAAGTTCATTAGCGTAATGTAAGTGTTCGTGAAAATTAAAGCCTTTTGATATTGAAGCTTTATGATCTGAGATTCAAAGTTGAATTCGGTGATGAAATTAATTTGCATGAGAATTGATTTATCAGAGAGCGCATCACTGATAACTTAGATCATCTTCTTCAGTTGTATGCTCATCTACTGCCTTTATTTCAAGTTTAGAGCGATTTTACAGTTTCGGAACGAGGCTTCTAGAAGCTCACATTTTGAGGTTTTATCTTGCCGATGCGGTGGTAAAATTAAATCAATTTTTAATTGTCACGAATCTCTTATAGGAAGGTTCTAGTCTAAGCAGTGCTGCTGTTCCAGACAGAATCGAGCAAGCTATAAACTCAAATCTCAAGCTCTTACATGCTCCTGATGGACCAAAACATCTTCATGATGAATTATTGCGCAGCCATTTCCTAGATGTAGTAGCGCATCTGGTTGCTACGGGCCAAAAACAGCTCAGCGCAAAAGTACATCATTATCGGCTTCGTTATTTTTGAGTCGTGATTATTCAACAAGAAATCAGATCCACGACACAAACTAACATTTCATTCGAGAAATTTCCTGCTGTTCTTGTGCTGTTCTCTTTTCATATATTTTGATAGAACTGTTATTCACTATCAAAAGGAACCCTGATCTGTAATTCTCCTTCCCTCTAAAAAATGGAGATATTCGGAAGCAGTTGAAATGGTCGGGTAGAGCACAAAAACTAGGTGGGACCTTCAGTGACTTCTTATCCAGAGGTTTGCAAGCGGGATAGATTCCGTTTTATCGAAATTTGTAAATGCCAATTTGCCATCGAAATGAATGAAATCATTTATTGGGCTGGGACTTATATGAATTTCTGGAAGGCTTCGCTTAACGACCTTACTTAATTCGAAGTGCTTATTTTTTAGTTTCTTTTGATTGTTTTAATTTTCCTGATTGCACGGCACGCAATTTCGGGCACTGTCGACGAGTATGCAATCCGGGATTGCTGATAAATTTTAGATGAGCGTATGTATGATTGAGCACGAGCAAAGCGTAGCGAAACAGACCGAGAAATCGACCGATGAACTAAGTGCAGATGGCTGCGACAGCGACGCTGACTTGTATGTGCTAGCTATTTTCCACAGACGCATTTTATCTTATTTTTAGTAATTTTGTCTCTGCATTCTTCACGTATCTTTCCGCATATTTTTGCAATTTTATAATTATTGCAGACTGTGAATTGTAACTAGGTTTATTATTATTATCATTATTATTGCTATAATTATTATTGTATTGTTCTGTTTTATTATTATGGTATTACTACATCATTATTATTCTGCTTTGATTTTATAGCTTTTTACTTTTTTGTCAATAATATGTCCAATAATATTTTTCATTATTATTTCATCGTTATTTCTGTGCCTCTTATTTTATAATTTTTTCCATGAGTATAAGCTATGGGAATTATGTTTCGCTTAATTTGCAATTATTTTATGACAAAAGGGATTACGATGGTCTAATGCACGTTACCAAGACTTTCCAGGACTTGGTCGTCTGAGGCTGCTGGCAGCAAGCGCTCATTGTATCTACAGCTTAGTCGCAGCGATAGCGGAAACGACGATATCGATGCAGTACAAGCAGCTGCAGCATCGATTCACGCTTGGAATAGTGATGATGCAGTTAAGGTTAACTTAAGCTTTACTCGCGAGAGCTCTGGAAAGCGAAAATGATTGAAAATTTGCTCCTCACCGGGGCGTTCGGGATCGCAGTTCTGCTGAAAACACCCATCGTCTTGAAATACACTGCACGAGATTTTCGGCCCAGGTAACCGACAAATATTTATTGAAAGAAACCACAATACCGTGCAGGGCTACCTACAGCTCATAGTACTTCCTCATATTCAACCAAACACATAGTACGAACATACAACACGTCGCTGTGATGGGGCTGTCGCGGATGACGATGACGGGCGACTTTGCCGCATCGCTGTCAATTCAAAGAAAATTTGCGTCTCAACTGTTCTCTTTACCTTATATAGGCAAATCATCTGGTGGGTGTCAGCTCGTTTCATTCTTCGCACCGTTTGATCACAAGGTTGGTATGCACTATGTGCTCGTGTCTCATGTATTCTATAATTATTTGCGAACCAGGCTGGTGAAATGTGTACTGGCCATTTACGAAAACACAAAATAGGCAGTAACATTAAAAGATTAGCTTGATACTATTAAGGATTTCTCCTTTCACCAAACTTTCCGTAGAAAAGGGCGCCACCCGATCCAGCCTCTATCCTCTTAATTTATTCCCCTTTCTTTGTTGTTCCTGAATACACACCAAGTGAATTTGTTCAGGTAGAAGTGATCAAAAATCTCAAAGTTTGATTAGCATCTCTCGTTTCCTATGCGAAAGATATGTGTATGTAAGACACATATTTGACAGGATGACGAAAAATTGACCAGCGACAGCGATGAAGAGTTCGCAGTTTATGCATGTTTGCGAAGCTTGATCAGATCCAAATCAACATGCTCCGTTCAGAAACAGGGCCATACTGCATCATATACCGGTTGGTACCTACTGAAATCATTTCCGATTCAAATGGATCTAGAAATGCAAAAAATCTAGAAGAAATCTGAAAAAATCTATCCCTCTAAAAAAGCGCATCTTTTTTCTCGAAATGTATAAAGTTGTATTGATACAGCGCCAGCGTCCAGAAACAGATGCAGTGATGGCAGGAAATCGGCCGAGGACGCAACGCAGTTATCCAGCGACGAAGACGATGAAGACGACAAAAGCGCCGTTTTGCCAGCGCATCGTCTGCCGCCCATTCGCGCACTTCACAATTACCGTTTACCCGCGCTGAAGGTTATTTGCATGCAAATTTTCAACTGGTATTTTGTTACTTTGTTCTGTTGTTCAGTTATCTTCCTTGTTTTTTGGGTTTGAAGGCTTTTTTTTAAAAACTAACTTCTATTTCTTCAAATGCAGCGCTCACCAGGAGAGCTAAATCCTAGACTGTTTGCTGTTTTTCACTGCTAAAATGAATGTTTTTTTTCGTCGTCAGCTTCTTTGTCTCCCGTCTGTTCAGAAACGACGTATCACCTCGCCCATCAACGACCTGTCATTAGGGCCATTTAACAGATAAGCATAAAAACGAACACTAATCTGCAGTCTCATTATCGATGTTCGTGTACGCCTCCTCGTTTTTAATGCCTTTTGCAAAAACCGAATTATTTCTGTATGTGTTTTTGTCTGTGCACATAATTTAGTTTAATTGGGCGGCAACGGAAGCTAAAGAACCTATGTTTTGGAAGCAAAAAGCCCTATCGTGTGCGATGTTCAAGGACCAAAAATCAAATCTTGCTTTCCATTCTGTTCTTTGTATTTATGAAACGACGATGGGCCCAACGATACCTCAGTGTGAGTGTGGTAACGTTGTGGCTATTCCCAGTTACTTACTAGCTAGGCCGTCAGTGACACAGAATGTTGCTTTGTCAGTGACAAGAGCGTTGCTTAGAAGCAAGCTGATGGTCTATTTCGAGGTGTACAATAATGTAACTTTATCTTGCGTGCGAAAGAGTGAATTGTACTGATCTTTTCACCAGTGAGCTTTAATCATTTAGCCCGAGAATGAAGTAACGTGCCACTGTGCCAACCCCACTAACTTAGCCATACCTCTTGATTTTCGCTATATATCTTGATGTTCGTCTCCATATCTAGACTGATGTTAAAACATTAAAAAGTACAAATCAGGATTTTAGAACACACATAATTCCAGTTGACTTAGCTTTCACTTCTAACCAACAGTGCCTAGGTCGTTCGGATAATTAGTGTGAAGATCCCCTGTTAATGAGGTCAATGGAATGTCCCCACAATTCGGGCGCAGTTACTCAAGCCCTATGATCTTGAGCTGCGTGCTTTAAATTTGTGCTCACAGTTTATCTTGTTCGGTGTGTGTGCATTTCTTCAAACTCACCTGAATGGTCAGTTGCTTCCCTCGCTGGCATGACTTTGCTGGTTTTCAGCAAAGCAAACAATACATGTGAATGAACAGATAAGCACAAAAAACTAAAGTCCAGGGATTTTAAGTTCTCCGCATGGCTGTTATGAGAGACGGAAAAGCCGATTGCTTACACGGTCTCTAAAGACTCTCCAGTATATTATTTCTATCGTGTTCCATTAGCAGTCCGCCAGCTCTCTTCCTGGCAAATGTTTGGATTCCGTAGAAGCGTTGTGATTGTGCACAGCATCCATGCACTTTCAATAAAATGTAGTAGTAGCTTGAGTTGAAGGGCGCTCCCAATGTTTTAGGAAATAAAAGAATATCTAAACGATCTTTTAAAAGGACTGCAATTTTTTTAGATAAAACCCAGCGTGAAAGTAAACACGTGTTGGTCAGCGCCAGGAAACACCTACAGAGATGAAGTGGGCTTCGAGAGCGATGACGACGATGACCTCGATTTGTCCAGACCCTCGCCATTCAATTGCTGTTGGTCTGCACCTGAATTTGTGGCTGGAAGTGAGCAGCAGGTCCAAATCTATCTTACTCAGTCTCTTTCCCCAAATTTGGGATTTTCGCTTGCTATGCGTTTTTGCACACTTGTGCAAGTGCAAAAGTGCATATTGGCAAGAGGAATTCTGTCACTCGTTTTCAACGTAGCAAACAGAGAAGCTAGCGAGCCGAAACTTATGGGGCATGGAACTTGCAACCCTCTTGCTATAATTTTATCATTCAGTTACGGTCGGATCTCTCATATGCCTAAAAGAAAACGTACAAATTTCTTGATGGAAAAGCGATTCAAAAACCAGACGAGATAGGAGGCTGAAACTTTACGAGGGTGCTCTATTTTCTACGTTACACGTACGATAACATCAAAGTTAAGATTTCGGCATCGCTGACTAACTGCCAATTCAGGGGCTAAACTGCTTTGAGCTCTCTAATTTTAGGAGAACAAGTGTTCTCCTAGTATAGGCGTGAAATGAGCCTTAGCACATCCTGCGTTGCGAGTTCGCACATTTCACAGATATTTGTAACGAAAAGCGATTTCGTCAAACACTGAAACTGAAACTTTGCAAGTATATTTCAGGCCAATGTGCAACCGAAATATTTTATATTCAGCCTTAAAGTATGTCTAAATCTCGCGATCGCGCAAGCGGAGATATAATTTAGGGTACTTTTCACATCCGATTAACTTGGTAACCAGACTAAGCAAGAAGCAGTATTTGTTTGAGAATGCTTGCCCTTCAAGTGTGAACCGTTGCATAAGATGAGCCTCTGCCTAGGCATAGATCTTGCATACATCCTTCAAACCGTAATACCCCAGTTACACCCCAATAATACAAGCGATTTTTTCACAGAGTGAAGTCGTGCAAAAACGCATAATCGCACCTGCAAGCTTGGCGTGTCGCTAAGCGAAAATTTTATTACTGAGATTCATTGAGAATTTTAGCTGATTATTCAGACACCTGATGACTTTTCAAGCTCGGATGATGCATCGTTCGCCGCAAGAAATGCCGACAGCGAGAGGTCGCCTCATCCACCTCTGCAATGGTGAATTTTTCTGACTTATATTATTTAGAACTAAAATAAATCTTGGTGTTGCTGTGGCAATTAGTTTTTGACTTCTGGCATTTTAGAAAACAGTTTTTGCTCGAGGAATTTCTGACAGGTTACGGTATATATGTGATCACTCCTTCGGACCACAGAAACGGAGCGACGAAAAGAGGTTGTGGGGAAAGGGAAATTTCGTTGCCTAGCTAAAAGCATGTGTTTCAGTGCGGATCTTTCCGACTATGATGAACAGGCACGAAAAAGCATATTGGATTTTAGTGGTACAGGCCGCTTCCGCATTCCGGGCAAACAGTGTCCCCGTGTGATTTCAGAAGCTAACTCCCTGTCCATGTACGATGCTACGCCATCACCTCATCGGTCCTTTTTATGTTTATTATGCAGCTGCTGCTGTCCATGCTAAATTATGCAGCCTAAAAATTCACTGTAGCAAGATGAATAAGCGTTTTTGCATATTTATGCCTATTTTTATGCGTTTCTTTATATATGCAAATTGCAAAAACGCATACTGGCAAGAGGCTGTCTGTGCGTGCATACGTTTCCGTGTATTCGCACTTTTTGTCGCCTCCTCCCAACTCGAGAACCAGAAAGGTTAGAAGAATGAAACTTCGGGAGTATGTGCCCACACAGTTTGCGACCCTTCCGTTTTAATACCATCACCTGCGTACGCTTGGTCCCAAGTACGAACGCCTTAAAAAGTATGCAAGTTTTTTGGCGGGAAGGTGGGCTCGGAAGCCAAAAAAGATAGCGAGCTGAAACTTTGCAGGGATATTCTCTATATGTGCCTGAGCTAAAGTTTTCAAATTCAGCCTCGAATACTGCGTGGATCACAAGTACGAGCACATAAAATTTTTGGCGGGAAAATTGCTCGTTGAACAACTATGCCATTTTCAAACCCAGGCTGAAACACACCAGGCGAGCTGGTGCGATCATGCTTTTTGCATGAACGGTTGCTTCTTCACACCTACCTTGTATGCTCAATACCACAAATCGTCGTAAATTTTGCATAAGAAGGGAATAAACAATTTCCGTTTAGCGGTGTTTTTAGAAAATGACCCATCTGTTCAGTGAGTAGTTTCCCCGTCAAAAATTTAAGCGCCTGTACACGAGAACCACACGTATCGTGGAGGTAGGGTTTAAAACCTTTAAGTTGTATTTGGATGGGAAATGTTCCCTTAAAATCTCAGCCTTCCAGCAGCAATATTCCCGCCAAAACTTCCACAGGGCCGACGTGACCTGGGAGCATACCTGGGGGCTGGGTTTGGGATATTTAAGTTGCATGTAAACTAAGAACATCCCTTGAAAATTTCAGCCTCCTAGCTTTCGTTGTTCCCAAGTTAGTGATTTTCGCGCCAAAAAATTACATAAAGCCATGCATGCCTGGGCTGAGGGGGAAGGGGGGAACGGGGACTGAACTTGATAAATTTAAGTTGTGTATAAGCTGAGAACATTTTCTGAAAATTTCAGCCTCTCAGCTTTCCTTTTTCCAAGTAAGCGATTTTCGCGTCAGGAATCCTGACGGGGCTGTACGTGGGAACCACACACACACGGGGACTGAATTTGAAATCTTTGAATTCTATTTGGACGCGGGACATAATCTCAAAATTTCGGCCTTCTAGCTTTCTAGCAATTTTCCCGCCAAAACTTTCATCCTCTTGTACGCTGGGCCTAGACTTGCGTAAAGGTTGGTACCGGGGTTCTGGGAAGGCAAACGGCTGAGGCCACTAGCAAAATTTTGGCGCCGGAGCTTGCTTGGTTGCCGAATTGAAATACCCGGACAGGCGAACACACACACACACAAGCATACACAAGGTTCATCGCAATATGCGTTTTTATGCGTTTTTTGCAGTGCAGTGCGAAAAACGCATATTGACGAGAGGTTGTCTGTGTGTCCGTGTGTCTGTGTGTCTGTGTG